AAACTGTAATCCTAAGTACAGCACTTTCTTAAGTTTTGGTGAGTCATTCTAACAAAATAAATTTGAAGCAGCAGTGCGAACTCCCAAATTTGTAGCCAGCTGGCAAAATGAAGTTGGCCTAGGGAACCCCAAATTAACATACGGAACCTACAGTGGAGGTTTTCTTGCAGAAAAGTGAATTCCTGAATTGTGAAATGTGATTAATTTCAGATAGTTGTGTCACAAGTCATTGTAAAGACACAAGAAATCTAATTGTTTCTCTCTTCATTCCTTCCATGACATCGGTGGTTGGAGTCAGGGATTTTGCTCTGGTTTTGGATTATCCTTGCATCCCGTGGCTCAGAGTGCCTAGCAATCCCACATGTTTATGTCTTCATCACTTTGGCATTGTGGAATGAAGCTGAAAAAAAGAATTGTAATGAATATCCGAATTCTAAGTTTGGAGACTATATAGGAAATACAGCAGTGGACAAAATTGATTTGGGATTATATTAGTTCTGTAGTCAGTAAAGAAAAATTATTTTAAGAAGCAAACATCTGAAATAACAATGTGAACAATTTTATGAAGGATTTTAATTTCAGACAAAATTTTGGATTTTGAAAAAGTTTTAATTTGTCAATATAATTCACAACACTTGAGTGAAATCCTAAGTTACTTTGAAACAACATTACTACATAATAAAACTCATAAAGGAGTATGCCATTATTTTTGGAATAAATATGTTTCTGGCTACTAAAGTCTGCTTAGTTATTTTTTGTGGATGCTTATTTTAATACCTGTTGTACACTCCCATGAGAGCATTCTGCAATCCTCAAGAAAATGAAATGATTTATGAAGTAGCTTGGAAAATATTTATTTAATTGATTGCCAAAATTATTTGCCAGTGAGTTTCTCAGCACAGAAGCATATTTATGGCATGTTACAGGTATTGCTCCCATTGGCAACTGTATTTGATTTCCAAGTGTTCTCAGACATAATTATTATAAAATTCATTGGTCTGACAAAATCTTGGCAAAAGTAATATACCTGTTTATTGACAAATTCCTTGTTGGGGTGTATTAGTGGTAAGAAATACACAAGGACCACATCTTATAATCCCAGGAATTTGGGGATTCACCTCAAATTTTACCTCATACCATGGTCCCTGCCATGAATATTTAACAGAAAGTGGTATCTAATTCACAGACTAGGGGACCTTCAGATCAAAGTGGACAAAACAAGGGGTGAGGCACTTGGAGGTGAGGTTTAAACTACTAGACTGTCAGTCCAAAGCAGTTTCCATGGTAGCAGCTATGGAGCTATGATGGAGTTCTCTCTGCTCTGCTATCCTAGGCACAGACCAGGCACAAAGATATGGACAATGGTAGCTATGCAGTTTCAGGACCCAAGACTGATTTAGTGACTCCTTATACTCTTCTTCTCTGTTGGTATCTTAGTTACTTTTCTATTACTGTAATACAATATTCTGACGAAAACAACTTAAGGCAAGAAAAGCTTTTTTTTGACATATAGTTCAGAGGACAGTTCATCCTGGTGGGGAAGTCAAGGCAGCAGGAGCTGGAGTCAGCTGGTCACATTGTATCCTAAGCTAGGAAAAAGAAAGCAATGAATGCTTGTGCTCAATACACTTTTCCTCTTAATATAGTCCATAATCTCAGTTTAGGGCATGGTCCCACACAGAGTAGGCAGGCCTCCCCACCTTAATTAACCTAATTAAAATAATCCCCTATAAGCCGGGCGTGGTGGCACATGCCTGGAGTCCTAGCACTTGGGAGGCAGAGGCAGGCAGATCTCTGTGAGTTCAAGAACTGCCTAGTCTACATAGTGAGTTCCAGGCCAGCTGGGGCAGGAAGACCCTGTCTCAAAAAATATAATAATAGTAATGATAATAATAATAATAATAATAACCCCTTATAAGCATAATCAGAGGCTTTTCTCCCATGTGATTCTCCATCTCATCAAGGAGAGAACTGAGGTTAACCGTCACATTTGGTTTTATACAGTCTCACTTTGAATCTTACTCTGAGCTGAATTTCTCAGTGATTAGTTCCTACATCCCAAATTACCTACCCTTTACAGTCAAGTCAACTCCACACTCAGAGCATGTGCCAACCCATTCAAAACACTAACCTGATCACAACCACTGGACTTCAGTCAGAATTAGGTCCAAACAGAATCAGTAAAGTTCAAATCTACCACTTGAGTTCTAGAAGACATGAGGTTGTGCATTTTTTATTTAAATTTTTGGTTTGTTTTTCTGTCTTGAGACAAGGTCTCCCTGTAGCTCCACCTGGCCTGGAACTTGACCAGGTTGGCATCAAATTCATAGAGATCCCCAGTCTCTGCCTCTGGAGTGTGAGTTCTGGGATTGAAGGGGTACGCCACCACACTGGGCTCTAAACTGTATTTTTACTTAACACGTGGAAAGCTTTTTGTACCAGGCAATTTATTAAGAACTTTATGTTTTATTAATTTAAAACAGCTTAAGATTTAGTTCTGTGATAAGATATTTAAGTACAGACTGTTAAACAGTTTAAAATTTGATTCTATGATAATGAATTTAAATATATAGAAAACATAACTGAAGAGCAAAAAAAAAAAAAAAAAATGTTAAGTACCTGGCAAGTGAGAGTTGAAATTCAAATTCCAGTAGCTGAACCCAGTTTTGAATTGTTTCGCTGTGTTACAGAAGCATTCTGTATGTCAAGATTTAGTGGCCCCCCACTCTCTAAAGTGAGCAAACAAATAACACCCTCTTGTGCATGGAAACCAGGCAGACAGTCTTCTGCTTCACCTTCAGGAATGTTTAATCCAAGCCTCTGATCTTATTCCTATTCTCCTTTTACCATTCATCTTTAAGATAAAGATAGCATTTATCAACAGCTGTAGTTGCACTTGCACTTATAATTCTGTACTAGGGGTGGCCAGGTAGGAAGCTCATGAGTTTTATGACAGCCTGAGCTGATCAGTGAGACACTGCTTCAAAACATACAAACAATGAAAGTGACTACATTGATCTTTTATTAAAGCACAGAAAATTCTCTTTATCCAGGTGGCTTAGAAAGGTATGTAGTCCAGAAGAGAAAACAAGGTCCTCTCTAGTGCTCAATGCAATGTAAATTCTGATTTACCCTGCTGACTTCTAGGCAGTCTGGTGGTATATCCCTATAACTGGGAGTACTGGGTTACTAACGTAGGCTCTAGAAACCCTAAGTCAGTAATAAGATGCTTCCCTACAAACTTGATTAGCAAAAATGAGCCCTTAGGATACCATTAATATCAATAAATCATTTTTTTTCTTTTTTCTTTATTAATTTTTTAATGTGTATGACTATATTGCTTGCATGTAGGTAGGTGCACCCATGTTGTGTAATGCCTGCAGAGGTCAGGAGAGGCCATCAGATCCTCTGGTTGTTAGCTGCTTTGCGGGTGCTAGAAATCAAAGCAGGGTCCTCTCAAAGCAGAGAGTACTCTTAACCATTGAGTCATCTCTCCAGTCCCAAGCAATATATCTCAAGACAGCACAGTATTTCCCATTTTCGTTCTGAACACCTTTTTTTCCCCTCACATTTCTACTTATCCTTGTTGTCATTTGATAATTTGTGTGATTACATTGAACTGAATTTGCAACTAAAATGTTGTGCCTTATTTATGCTTATCAATGCCATGTGAAAGAAAGGCCTTCAACATTGCAATATTCACTTTTTCTAAACAACTACATACAATTATTGGATATATTCAGGGCCATTATACTTGTATCATTAAAGAGTCACATTTTCTTTTTAAGACACTCTCAGGCAAAATGTGAAGAATAAAATAAGAGTTAAAGTCTAGAAAACAAGATTAGCCTTCCTTACTTGATCTTTGTTCAACAGAATTGAACAGGAAATTTTATTTTCTTTTCCTTTATTAACTCTAAGACCAAAGGCAAAAGGGATTTGTTCTTCTCTTGGTTCCATTGTATTGCTATTCAAGTGGGAAGTGACTTCGTGTGAATGTGACTAACACAGCTTGACTGTGGCTTAGTAGAAAGTGCCCTAAATTCCTTCCCAGAGCTGCTGGATAACACACATTCTTGTCAGAAGCTGCAGGTAACATTTTATACTTCTCTCTGAACAGAGATGTCAAAAGTAAAGTATAATAGTCATCTGTGGACAAGCACACCACATTCCCACATTTGGCTGTTTGCGTTATCACACGGAGTGGAAAGTGATGGAGGACACCTGACCTTTTCAGATACAAGTACAATTAGGGGCAAATATTAACATTATATATTCACAGGCAATCCAAAGGGTGATCTTAAAGATGAGGCACAGTGGATAGTTTGTTAAAAATTCATTATTTTTGGATGCAACTCCATATCTTGTTTTAGAACATATACTGAAATAAATAAGCAAAAATCAATTTTTTTCTATTGTCTTTACTTACTGGCCCCCCTTTTGTTTTGCTTGTTATCAGTGCTAGAGATTAAGCCTCGGGCCTTGTTCTTCCTAGGCCATGTTCTAGCTCTAAACTATATTCCCAAACCTCATTGTAAATTTTGTTTGTTTGTTTGTTTGTTTGTTTGTGACAGGGTCTTCCTCTACCCCAGCTGGCCTGGAACTCTCTATGTAGACCAGGTTGGCCTGCCTCTCACAGACGTCCTCCTGTTTCTGTCTCCTGAATGTTGAAATTAAAAGTGTGCACCACCATGCCAGGCAGTCCCAATGTAAATGTTAATGTTAATGTTTTTAATGGAAAAATCATGTTTGCTGATGGAATACATGGTATAGAGAAGTACAAATAGTTTCAAGCACAAAATTATAAAAAGTAAATCATGTATAAAATAATATTGATAGGTAGACTGATTTTCAGAATTCTGATGTCATTTTCTAGTTTTAACTATATTCTATCTTAAATGTTGCTAATTATTTTATTACCCATATCTCACAATTGTAGTGGTCAAATGGGCATAATTTATTCATATAAGTGAAAAAATACATCGTTTTTTTCTTCAGCATGTTTTACTGAGGTAAGCCTCCCAGAAGACTACATATGCAGAATCGTTCTGTACAATAGTAACTCCCATCTTATGAGAATATGTTCTTGGCTCTTATGTCCACCCTTACAAGCTTGAGAAACCAAAAGGATACATTGCTGGGGTTGTTTTGGCTTTATTTGTTTGTTTGTTTGTTTGGTGTGTGTGTGTGTATGTGTGTGTTTTGAGACAAGATCTACTTACTGTAACCCAGGCAGGCCTTGCTATGTATCTCAAGATGACCTGAAACTACTTGCCTCTACCTCCCAAGTGCTGATATTACCAGTATGCATTACCACATCCTGCCAAGAATGTGTTTCTTATATTTAAGAAAGGAATGTGATGTTTTGGTGTTAATCTTATAACTCGGACTTCTTTGTTTCTGATTTAGAGGAATTATCACTTTCAGGAGCTACATCTTGCTGCTGGAGGACACTATGCTCACATGACATGTTGTTCAGCTGGTCTGGAGCAGGTGTCACCAAGCTGAAACACTAAAGGTGATCAATGGGAAATCTCGAATCATGTACCACTATCAACAGCACCCAAGCACTCTCTTGAAAATACGACTGCCACAGAATGTTGATGTACAGGATAGTACTCTTTCATATACCTAAAAGAGAAAGAAATGAGCTAGGGTCATTACAGTATATGAAGAATATTTCCCCTAATTCCTATCCAGTTCTATGCAAGTCTCTTAATGTTGCTGCTTAACTCGCAAGACCTTTCCAAGGGAACCCCGGGAGAAGAGGAAAAATTAGTTGAGCTTCTGTTCTTCCCTTCCCATTCTTTTTTTTTTTTTTAATTTAACATGATTTATATGTATATTTATTTTTACTACTATAAATAAACATGGATCCATCTTAATACATCCCCTGGAACCAGAGTTAAAGGCAGTTGTTAGCTGCCATGTAGGTTCTGGGACTCAAATCCGGGTCTTCTGGAAGAACAGCATGTGTTCTTAACTGCTAAGCCATTTCTTCACACAAACCCCAACCTCTGTACATTCAGATACCTGGACTCCTACTTTTACACTAAAACTTATTTGTACATGGCTATGAAAAACAAAGTATGGGCTCAAGACTGGGCAAATGAACCAGGGATTTAAACATATGTTTGACTTCTATAATTTGTGATTCCCCACAGCAGCCTGGGCCCTGGCATTGTGTCTGGCTGCCACTGTCAATTCTTAATCTTGAAGGATGAGACCACCCCCACCATGAGAAACTTGTAACCTTTCCTTCCTGTCTACTAATCTCTGTTGGTATTTCCTCAAAAAAAAAAAAAAAAAAAAAGGAAATGGGATCTTGATCACCTCTTTCACAGGCACTATTTTGTTCTTTGCAAAATTTCCCAACGGTTTTCTAATACATCTCCAGTTTTTGAGTATTCTAAGAAGACAAGGATGAGGCAGTCAACAACCTTTACTAAATTCTAAAATTTGGACTAACTTATTAAAGGTACTAAAGCAACTTTTCCACTAGGGAATTTTAAATTCAAAAATGAAATACTAAGTGGAAACTTCTTTTATTCAGATGGCCTATACAATATCCATATCTGTATGTCCAAGAAAATTTCATGAAAAAAGAAAATTTCCTGAATAACTATTTTGTTCCTATGCTTTCATTTTCCTAAAATTAACTGCAATTGTTAAGAAAAAGTAATAAACACTAAAAAATTAGCATGTATTTTCAATAGAAATGAAAATCTTTGGAATGTAGCAATGCCTATGCCTTTGGCTCAACCTTTGTAGTCTTTTATAGAATGTTTGGTCCATCCTTGGAAATCCTTTTTTCATTTTATTTTTATTTTTATTTTACGTGTATGCGTGTATTGTCTGCATGTAGGTAAGTACACCCATGTCGTGCAATGCCCATGGAGGTCAAAAAAAGCTGTTGGATCCCTCGGGACTGGAGTTACAGAGAGTTATTAGCTGCCATATGGGTGCTGGGATTCAAACCTGGGTCTTCTGTAAGAACAACCAGTGTTCTTAACTGCTGAGCCATCTCTTCAGCCCCCATCCTTGGAAATCTTATATCTAATATAGCATTTTTAATTTCATTGATTTCTTTTTTTCTTTTATTTATTTCCTTTACCACTCCTTTTTTTTCTGAAAACAAGTTCTTCTAAATTAAATATCTACTTCCAAAGTTGATTAGGCCATGTTTATAGTACAGTCAGCAAAAAGAAAATCAATCCATTCAGGCAGAAGTGCCTGAAAATTTATGCTGATAAATATAATCATACAAAAGTTCTGTAAATCTAAGACTCTCCTTATCTATATTAATTTAGAGCAGTTTTTTATTAAAATATTTAAAAAAAATAAGCAGAATTCAAAATAATCTTATACTCCAAGATAAAATAACTTCAATGTTTACCAAGAAAAAAATTAGACAAATTAAAATTTAAAAATTACCTTTGTAGAAATGGGGTTCACAAGTTTTTCTCAGAACAAGTGGCCTCTTGAAGACTGAGTTGAGATTGCTCCAGCATCTGTACCTCAGGATCCAGAATACATAATTCTCTATCATTCCCAACAATTTGCTTAGCAGCCATATTTTTTCTTTTAAACCACAGAGCATAAAATACCCCAAAATATGCATTATTGTCAGAAAAAAGGCTCATGACTGCCACATTCAACTTTTCTGAACACAGCTCCCTTCATTGGTCAGGTTCCCGCCTTTGCCTTCTGTGGTAAATACCAATGGGACACTTGTAAATGGCTAAGGCCATTTTCTTGTAAGTTCTGTTGGAAAAATGTCATAAAGAGGTATTTTCATAAATTTAATGTTTGGTATTATTCTTCTCCAAAATAATGCATGTGAAAACTTTTAATGCAGGCAGTGGAGAGCTGAGAAAATATTCTAATTAAGCATAAAGTTATATTATTATCATCTTTATAATTTGCACTTGGCTTGTAGTTTAGACCTAGAGTCTAATACTATTCTAAATGTCAGACTTTGAACTGAGCCAGGATGAGCAGGAAGAACAAAGAAAGAACTCAAGAGAAATTTCTACTGCAGAATTACTAGATTTTAATGACTGATTAAATATGTGGGACAAAGGGATAAGGTTCTTAGATGATAAATCCAATATCTATTTGCTGAGTGTGACAAAACAGACAGTGCAATGCAAGAGAAAGACAAAAAAAGAAATAACAAATCAAGAAAGCGAATCGATGAAGGTGTGCAAGTTTAAAGAGAGAGGTCAGGAGTACAGATGGCATTGTTGCTAACAGGTGTACAGTATTCAAATTCATTGAAGTTGGTGAAATCACTCAGGAAAGGTGTATGGTGGAACATAGAAATGTTGATGTTTGAAACTAATAGAACTTATTCCTAATGTGCAGACTGAGCATTTCTTAGGTAGAACAGTGTAGGACTGGTCTAATACAAGTCCATAGCAGGAGGAAACAAAGAAAACACAAAATGGTACTCCTTCCAAAATAATGACCTTTGCTAGAAGCAATTTGAGTTCATGTGATTTTGGTAAGTTAGAGCATCTTTAGACCTAACTCTATGAATTTAGCCATCAATACTCAGTAAATAGATATGGTTGGGAAAAAAGGGTCTCAAGGGAGAAAATGGATGCCTGGACAAGCTGGACCCTAAGTGTGACCAAAGAGCAAATGTCTGAATTGGCCCATTTAAAAAAGAAGAAGAAATTTTAGTTTGAGAAACCATTGGGGACATCATTGTTATTTGAATGTGAAGGCCACAATAGGTTTCTAACAGAGAATGACTGAAAACAGAGAAATAACCTTCATTTAATTTGAATAGATCAAGATATTGAAAATTAGACTGTGAATTCATAATTTACATAAACTTTGGAATCAATATGTTAGTTCAGAGTTAAAGGGAAAGATAAAGATAAAAGAGTGAATTTGATATTTAATGCTATTAATTATTGAGAATTCATTAAGAATTCATTAAGAAACCATATCTGATGGGGAGAGGATGGGAATAATGGGGGTGCTTGGACTCAGGAGAGTGGAGTGAGTTTGGACTGGGAGAGAAAGGAGAGAGGAATGGATCACAGATAGTGTGGGAAGTCAGAAGGAAATGTGTTGGCTTGGGAACCATTTCAGAAATACACATACAGTGTATGTGTATACCGGGGGGCTGTTTGAAAAGGAGTATACTGCCAGACAGAAGATTCCACTTTTTGAGTGGTTGGTCAGAGTAGTCAAAGAGACTCCATAACATAGGCTATTGTCAGAGCCCTTGGATATCTCCCAGAACTCAGAGGTAAGACCTTACTGCTGAAGACAGGTCATAATTCAGACACAGGACTTCAAGCAAAGGAGCAGGAACTGACCTGGAAGCCTTTTCCATGAAGACTAGCTCTCATAGTTCTAGAGGATACTATGTAAGCCGCTAAGGGAAAAAAGTCAATGGTATAACCCAGTCCTAAAGCCAAATAAACATAATGATGAGTACAACAAACTACCACTATTGGTACAGCAGTGGCGCTGTTATCTGAGGGGTAATCAACAGCTATCTAATTGGAATTAAAGCCTTCTCAATGGGAGTGAATTCATGTAAAGTACAGTAATTTTAGGCAAATATAATTGGCTGGATAAGTCATAGATCCTAGAGAAAACCCTATCTCTGTGATGTCTCTAGGTGAATGAAATTTGTTACCATATCCAAAATATGGATTCTTATAGTTACAGACAAGTATACAGTACACCATTCATTGAGAAGCTTCTTTTTGCAACAGATAGAGGCTAGTGCAGAGTTTCACAACTGGTCACAGAGAATACATGTCTGAGAGATGCCCAAACCTATGTGACACATCTACAGTGGAACCATTATAGCTAAAGCTCATGGAATATAGTGGAACAGTGCAGGGAGAGAATACTGGTACATCCCTCAACTCTCACCAGTGAAGCTTCCTTATACAACAGAATGTGAGCTAAGTTCTGGAGAATAAGAGAATACAGAGTGTGTCCTTGGATAGGACTCCTTTTTTAAACCTCACACACCCACAGCTCAACATCCATTGTGGAAGAGAAGAGAGGAAAGATTGTAAGAACCAGGGTTGGTCCATGAACTAGGGAAACAAAGGCTTTCAAGCCACTGGAAGCTTGCTCATGTGAACTTGTGGCAATGGTGACACTGAGCACAAGACCCATGCCTACTCAGTCAGATAAGGGCCTAGTATGGTGTGAGGGAAATGGGGGGTGCGGCCAGCACTAGTCTGAGAACTGTTGGAGACTGATCGCTGTTGAGAGAGGGAGAGTAGCCCTTCCTTAAGATCTCTTGGGCTGGAGAGATGGCTAAGTGGTTAAGAACACTGACTATTCTTGTAGAAGACCCAGGTTCGAATCCCAGCACCCATGGCAGCTAACAACAGTTCGTAACTTTAATTCCAGGGGATCCGACAGCCTCTTCTGTCTTGTGAAGGTATTGCATGACACGGGTGCACTGCCTACAGGCAGGCAATATACACATACATATAAAATAAAAATAATTAATGAAATATTTTTAAAAATCTTTAGATAGGCTGAATGGACTCTAGTGGATGAACTTGCACCAAAGGACATCAGGATAAAATGCTTGACCCGATGGGACTTACCATGTTTGGTAGAATACATGAAGCCTGGTGTGGAGGTGTATGTTGGGGCATAGATGGGGGAAGGAGAAGTCTTAACTTGATTAAGAATTGTTGTATGACATGTACAAAAGCTCAATAAAACTATTTAAAAAGGAGGTTGGAGAGATGGCTCAGAAGTTAAGAACACTGGCTGTTTTTCCAGAAGACCTGGGTTTGAATCCCAGCACCCACATGGCAGCTAACAGCTGTCCATAACTCCAGTCCCTGGGGATCTGACGGCCTCTTCTGACCACTGCGGGCATTGCATGACACGGGTGCACTTACCTACATGCAGGCAATTACGTGCATACACATAGAATAAAAATAATAATTTAAAAAGAAAACATATCTGTACACCAGAATAAAAGAACTATTGGTAGATGATTTAGAAGGCAAAAATAATGGTCTAGAACTGTGCCATCTACAGTAGTCATGTGATTGTAGTGATTATGAAATGCTTGAATGCAGATATTCTGAACTGAGAGGTTCTGCGACTCTAAAATATATACCAGATATAAAATTGTTAATAGAGTTAAAAAATTATAAAAATATTCAGTTAATAATTTTACTTTGCTTTCTGGTTTAAATGAAAGTATTTCGGATATATTGGTATAATTAATATATATATAAAACAAAACTATCTTTTCATGATTTTTATATTTAATTAAGGTAGCTATGAGAATATTTAAAAACTAAAACTGCTTTTATGGTCTGCACTTGTGGCTTATGTTTATGTGAAGAAGGCTGTGAAGAACTTTAAATGATTTCAGATAATCTGCTTTTTATTCTCTCAAACACTGATGCAAGAAAAAGCCAGGGCTCTGTACTTTTGTGGTTTTGCTATACAGTCTTATAATGATAAAAAATAGGATTATTTGAGGTAAAAAATTGTTGGTTGACATACAATACTGGGAATAGATTTCATCCCTATGTTTCCCCTGATGCCATATTTGAATTAGTGTGAAATCAGAAAAATTTGGCATTTAAAAAATAATTCACATGATTCTGCTTACCTTAGTTCTGACCATCTACCTCCTCAAGGCATTTCAACTTAGATTTTTTCCTGCCTGTAAAAAGGATGACAGCTCAAATCATTTTACAAGTAATCTTCTGGTTTAAGTTGAGATATAATTTATAAAGCTAAAATCTCAGACAATATATATTATTAGGTAGTCCCTAGTATACTCCAATATAATAGAGTGCCCAGTGACTTAGGGCATGAAGTAATTTAAAGTTATCCCTTCATCAAATGCTTTTATTCCTTTCAGATAACTCACAATGATTAGTCATGCCTCTATTTACAAGGGATAGCACAACATTCTTCCATTAGTCATACAATGTTCTGTTTGTTCTTAACAAGACATATGAATTCAACAAAAATTCATTAAAAGTATACATTAAAAAAGTTTTTTAAAAATTTAATTTTATGTGTATGAGTGTTTTGGCTGCATGTATGTAAGTGCCCCTGATGTGAGCATTGCCTGCCAAGACCAGAAGAAGGCATCAGATTCCCTGGTACTGGAGTTACAGACCTTTGTCAGCCACCATGTGGGTGCTGAGTACCAAACCCACATCTTCTGCAAAAGCAGCAAGTGCTCTTAACAGCTGAGCCATCTCTCCAGCACTTCTCTAAACCTACTTTTTTTTTTTTCCCCTTTCATGGCTTTCTTACAATTAAAAAAAGTTAGAACTGGGAAAATGAACAGCAGA